TTTGCTGCTCGCTGTCGTCTAGACTACGCTGCTAGTCTTGTTGCTGAGTCTGCGTGTGTCTGTCCTCCGTCCGTCGGGGGTGAGTGTGCTCTTGGCACGGACGTCCTTGAGGACAGGCAGGAGGAGTTACAGTGTCTGGCTGCTGCTTCACCTCATCTCGTGTCCGTACTGCTTACCCCTGAGGGAGACCCGGATGCACTTGACATCCCGACTCCGCGCTCTTACGCGGAGGCCGTAGAGGGTCCCTACTCCTCTCAGTGGCAGGCAGCTATGGATGCAGAGATGGCTTCCTGGAAGTCCACAGGCACCTACGTTGATGCAGTTCCCCCTCCTGGGGCGAACATCGTCAGTGGCATGTGGATCTTCAGGGTGAAGCGGCCGCCAGGTTCTCCACCTGTGTTCAAGGCGCGGTACGTGGCTCGTGGCTTGAGTCAGCGGCAGGGAGTTGACTACTTTAAGACCTTCTCTCCCACCCCGAAGATGACCACTCTTTGGGTGCTGCTACACATAGCCGCTCAGCGTGACTACGAGCTTCACTCCCTTGACTTCAGCACTGCTTTCTTGCAGGGTAGCCTGCACGAGGAGATCTGGCTGCGCCGTCCACCTGGCTTCACTGGGACTTTCCCTCCTGGCACCCGGTGGAGCCTCCGACGGCCAGTCTACGGTCTCTGCCAGGCACCGCGCGAGTGGCACGACACACTGAGGACTACGCTTGCGGCTCTTGGGTTTGCTCCCTCTACTGCTGACCCGTCGTTGTTTCTGCGCACCGACACCTCTCTGCCGCCGTTCTACATCCTCGTGTACGTCGACGACTTGGTCTTTTCCACAGCTGACACTGCTGGACTCGCCCACGCAAAGTCCGAGCTGCAGAAGAGACACACGTGCACAGACCTGGGTGAACTGCGCAGCTACCTTGGCTTGCAGATCACCCGGGACAGAGCACGCCGCACCATTACCTTGACTCAGTCACACATGGTGCAGCAGGTCTTTCAGCGCTTCGGCTTTACGTACTCCTCGCCTCAGGCCACTCCTCTGTCTACTCGCCACTCGCTCTCAGCTCTGCCTTCGGATGAGTCCGTAGAGTCAAGTGGCCCGTACCCAGAGCTTGTTGGCTGCCTCATGTACCTGATGACCTGCACACGACCTGACCTTGCATACCCTCTTAGCATTCTTGCACGCTATGTTGCTCCTGGGAGACACAGACCAGAGCACATAGCTGCAGCGAAGAGGGTGTTGCGCTACTTGTGCAGTACGTCGGGCATGGGACTAGTGCTTGGAGGGCGGAGTCCAGTGGTCCTCACTGGGCACGCGGACGCTTCTTGGGCTGACGACCAGGCTACGCAGCGGTCGTCACAGGGTTACACCTTCTGTCTTGGTTCTGGCTCTGTTTCGTGGCGGGCTACTCGCTCGTCTTCTGTTCTCGGCTCCAGTTGTGAGGCTGAGATCTACGCCGGGGCCATGGCTGCATAGGAGCTTCGCTGGCTCACCTACCTGCTGACTGACCTAGGAGAGCCGCCTCGTTCTCCTCCAGTGCTGTATGTAGACAACAAGGCCAAGCTGGCCTTGTGTCGGGAGCAGCGCGTGGAGCACAGAACGAAGCACATTGCTCTCCGCTACTTTCTTGCTCGTGAGTTGCAGCAGCGTGGTCAGTTGCGACTTGCGTACGTGGCCTCTGAGGCCAACACTGCTGATGTTTTCACCAAGGCACTTCCGCCTTGTGATCATCAGCGCTTCTGCACTCAGCTGGGTCTTGTGCCTGTCTTGCCTCACTTGCTCACCCCTTGACCTTGCTTGTGCTCTTACATATATATATATATATATAAATACCTGCTCTTGCTTGTTTAGCCTTATATATATGTGTACTCCTGCATGTGAACTGGCCTTGTTGCCTTGACCTTGTGCTCGGACTGTGTGGTGACGTTGTGATCCACCCTGAGCTTTGTCTGCTTTGCTTGACTGGTCTTGTGACCCCATGTTCTCCCCCACTTTGCCTATGGGGGTGTGTCAAATTATAATATTGTGTAGGCTATAGTGGGGTAGCCTATATGGGGTACACATTTCTAGGGTTGCATATTTGTATCACTTCCATTCCTTAGTCATCTCATTCTCGTTCTACTTTCCTCAGAAAACACCGGTAACAGTCACCCTCATCACTAATAGTCACAGCATACATGGCAGCCACAATAGCATCAAAGTCAAGGTCAAAGATAGCTACTCCCGCCCTAGACAGCTCGCCCCAGCGAGGGATCTCAGTGGCCTCAAGAAACTGGTGACGCCAAGCGTCCGTCAGGCGGCCAAAGCAGCGCTTGGTGGAGTGCGCACCCCCGCACGGCTCACCCGTGCGGTCGCACGGCTCACGAGTACGTTGCTGCTGGTGCTGCTGCTGCTGCTGCTGGCGCTGACCACCACCGGAGCCGACCCTCTGCGCAGCGCCACCCCGACCAGCTCCACCTCCTCCGCCGCCGCCTCCTCCACCGCCGCCACCTCCACCGGCGCCACCTCCGCCACCTCCGCTCCCACCGCCACCACCGCCGCCGCCTCCGCCTCCACTACCGCCACCGACGCCCCCACCCCCGCCACCACCCCCACCGCCACCCCCACCCCCTCCGCTGCCTCCACCGCCGCCTCCACCGCCCCCGCTAGCTCCTCCAGCGCCCCTGCCCCCCTTGCCCTTGCCAGTGCGGCGTCTCTCGCTAGGGGCAGACGCCGCACCGACCGACTCAAGACCAACGAGGTCGGCCGCAGCAGCAGAGGCATCAGAGGGCAAGAGAGGAGAGGGGGAGCACCCCTCAAAGACAGGGGCACGAGGGTCACCACGAGAGGCTCCTACAGCGACTATGCTCTTCTCTGCTGCTAGGAGGCGCTCCTCGAGGAGGTCAACGGTGAGGGTGGTGGGGCAAACAGAGAGGTCAGGGAAGAGGTACGGCAGGATGAGGCGGCTAACTGCAGCAGTGGCAGGGGAAGAGTAGCGTGCAACTACAGCATCGTACAAGGACCTAGCACTCTTGTACTGGCTAAAGTGTGCACGCTCAGAGGTAGGCAAGTGGCAACGCACAGCAAGACGTGCAGCAGCATCGCGTGTGGCCCACTGTGAGCGAACAGTGGCGTCAGCATTAGCAGCAGGGGCAGGAAAGGCACCAGAAGTGAGGTCAAAGAGGGAGAGATCGTCTGCCCTATCGCACTGTAGGAAAAGCTGCAGGTCATCTACCTAGACGTCAAAGTCAATGGCCCGACCCTCAGCGTCAAAAGCGAGGACGCTGGGGGTAGCCATGAAAGCAGTAGACTAGCAGCGCGAGCAGTAGGCTAAGGGCAGCGCAGCGGTAGAGGTGCCGCTCTTACCGGACAGGGCGTCTCGGGCGGTTCGGCGGCTCGGCAGCAACTGCAGCTCGGCGGCTCGGGCGGCTCGGGTGGCTCGGCAGCAGCAGCGGCTCGGCGGCTCGGGCGGCTCGGGTGGCTCGGGCGGCTCGGCAACAGCAGCGGCTCGGCAGCACAGCGGCAACGGCGGCTCAGCGGCGCCGGCGGTTCGGTGGTGATGGCGGGGTCGCGTAGGGTGGCAGGGCCGCTGAAGGGACGGCGGCGGGGCCGGGTGGGGCGGCGACGAGGCCGCTGAGGGCGGCGGCGAGGCCACGAAGGGTGGCGAGCGGTGCCTTAAGGGTGGGGCCGCGGGGTCGCAAGGGTGGGGCGACGGGGCCAGCAGAGGCGGCGCCGGGGCCGGAAGAGCGGCGCCGGGTCCGCAAGGGTAGGCGACGGGGCCGCGAGGGCGGCGTGGAGGGGTCGCTAGGGCGGCTCGAAGAGGCCGCGAGGGCGGCGCGAAAGAGCCGCAAGGGCGGCGCGACGCGACGGGGCCGCGAGGGCGGCGGAACGGGGCCGCGTGGGCGGCGCGACGAGGCCGTGAGGGCGGCGCGACGTTATGGGGCCGCGAGGGCGGCGCGACGGGGTCGCAAGGGCGACTCGACGGGGCCGCTAGGGAGGTGCGACGCGACGGGGCCGCTAAGGCGGCGCGACGGGGTCGTAAGGGCGGCGCGACGGGGTCGTGAGAGGGGAGCGCGACTCGGGCAGAGGCTGAGCGCGCTCCGGGCAGGAAAAAAAAATCGGTGGGCCCTAGGAACAGTTCCCACAGGGGAACCTGCTCTATACCATGTGGAATTGAACGAGAATGAATCACTAAGGAATGAAAGAGATACAAATATGAAACCCTAGAATTGTGTACCCCTTAGTGTCTAACTCGCTACAGCCTACACAGGCCAAATCATATAAGTTTGACAAGACTAAGCGTGTGAACCAGACCTTGGAGCAGATTCTTCGCAGCATCACGATGCACGACGCAGCCGCATGGGACAAGAAGCTGAGCATGGCCGAGTTTGCATACAACAACACGCACCACTCGTCCACAGGCATGTCACCGTTCTTTGCACTTTACGGTCAGCACCCCAATGTCCCCACTCGTGTCGATCTCACACCCACTGCCCCTCGTGCGGACAACTTCCACCAGCATTTCACCTTCATTCATGATCACGTGAGAAAGCACCTTGAGCTCGCAAATGCACACATGGCACGCACCACCAACCGCAGTCGTCGTGAGGTGCTGTTTGCAGTCGGTGACCGTGTTCTCTTGGAAAGCCGCAACCTCCGACTGCCACAGGACAACAAGCTTCGTCCACGTTTTATTGGTCCGTTCGTCATTTAGCGCGCACTTGGTCCAGTTTGTCAGAGTTATATTGTTATAACTGCATGTAGTTGTAGCTGTAGTGTAGTATTACATTTAGCTGTGGGTGGTATACCTCGCTTCTCTCCTATTTGTACCCTTTGCACAATAGTGAAAACCCCTTCCTTTCTCGACATCCTCCTCTCTCGTCACCTTCCTAGGTTACTAACCTAGTCTACTTTCTGACATGGTAACCAGAGCTGTAAGATCCTTAGGACCTTTTTTTTTTTTAAGGATCATGGGCCCATCCGTCACGCAGCCCGTAATGCGCCCCACGGGTCCCCCGAATTGCCCCATGGACGACCCCCGCGGGTCTCGAGTTTCGCTCTCTGCAGGCCCCCCCGTTTCGCGCTCCGAAGGCCTGCTCGTCGCGCCCGTTGCGCCCTCCCCGTCGCGCCCGTCCGCCCTGTCCGTCCGTCACGCCCTGCGCGCCCTTCCCGTCCGTCGCGCCCCCGCTGCGTGCCGTCCCGTCCCTTCACGCGTCGCCTGCCTCGCCCCGTTCCGTCACGACCGCAGCAGCAGCAGTGCGCAGCTGCGTACAACCGTGCGCACCCGCGCACGGTCGTGTGTGTCAGCGCCAGCGCCAGCGCCCATGCCCCCCCCCCCCCCCCCCCAACCCGCCCTCTCCTTCCCTCTTCCTCTCTCCTTGTAGCACTTGGTGCTGTAGGGAAGGGGGGGGGGAAAAGCGGTTCAGGGGGGATGAGACAGGTTAATGGAGGGTAAGAGAGAGCGGCGGAAACAGCAGCCATGCATCTGCAGCTGCCGCCCGCTGCTACCGTGGCACCTACAGCTGCAGCCCCTGTCGCCACCTTTCGTCTTTCGTCTTTCGTTTGCTGCTGTTGGCACAGGTGCTGCCGTTGAGCCTGCTGTGCCGCCGCTCGTTGCCACCGCACGCCGCTCTCCAAGCTACCTGCACCGCATGCATGCCCCCCCTTTCGTCTTTCGTCTTGGCTAAGGGATTTCTGCAGCTGTATCTACCACTATTGCATCGGTTGCTATTGCTTTTGGATGCTATTGCTTTGTTCTGCTTGGTGTACCCCCGCAGGTTGTGTTTTGCACTTGGCTATTCCTGCATGCAGTTAAGGGGGGATGTCAGAGTTATATTGTTATAACTGCATGTAGTTGTAGCTGTAGCGTAGTATTACATTTAGCTGTCGGTGGTATACCTCGCTTCTCTCCTATTTGTACCATTTGCACAATAGTGAAAACCCCTTCCTTTCTCGACATCCTCCTCTCTAGTCACCTTCCTAGGTTCCTAACCTAGTCTACTTTCTGACACAGTTGCATACCGCCTCCGCCTTCCCGCTCATTTCTGCATGCACCCGTCATTCCACGTGTCTCTCCTTCGTCCATACACCAATCCCAACGCCACCTTCTCGGGCCGTGATCGAACTCCGCTGCCTGTAGCTGCTGACACCGACGAGCCCGACTACCAGATTGTCAAATGTTGTAGCCTGTAGTGAGGTTTGTCTTAGGGGGCACAGATGTTAGGGTTTGTTATATGTACCCCAACCCACATCAATGAACCAACACTTTCATTCTTCACACAGATCCAGCGCATCCTCACCTCAGGCACCGTCGCCGTCTTCATGGGGGTGTCTCTTTCGTCGACTTCTTGGTTCGTTGGCGTGGTTACGACGCAGCAGACGACAGCTGGGTTCCTTCGTCCCTACTGTCTCCCGACAACGCTTGCCTCCAAGCGTACCTCCAGTCTGCAAACGTTGCGGACGTCGCCTCCTTGGGAGGGGGGTGGTGTAAGGGGGGAATTTACTGTTCACTTTGAACAGTACTTTCCAACTCACCCTTATCCTTATCTTCCTAGATTTCCTAGTGTCACGTGGCACTCTACTTTCTTTGCCTTCTTTTTCCTAGTCCCACAACCCACTTTCCCACAATTGCTCTTGCATGCTATATCAACCTTGCTTGTATTCCCTCATAGCAATCAATTCTCATTCAACTCTTTAATTACTCTGTTACTTCTTTGCCTATTTCGCCAAAACTCTCTTTCGCCAAAGTCTTCCGCAGCGTCTATCCTCGACTTAGTCGACCCCGCTAATCTTTAGCGGATTTAGGCCAGTGGGCCTAACACTCATCATCATGAGAGTAAGTACGCGTCAGCATCAGACAACCTTACTGTACCATACACTATTATACAATACAATGTACATCCCTGTTAGTGAACAGAACAGCTAAGCTTTATTTCATAAGTGATGTTGCAGCGGCTAGTTATCATGTTTCAAACTACTCCACCCTAATACTAACATGTAACAAACGTTCTGAACTTCATCCCTTTCTTGCATCCAACTGTGCTTGCAAAGAATAGGCTTACACATGAATCTTCCACCTTAAAGGTATACCTGCCAACGGGAAATACATCAATGGATGAGTAAACAGTTGTTCATGTACTAGTACGCTTCATCTAGCTCTTAACTCATACCACAACACATGAACATAGAGAATAGCAGTGCGAGATAAGAGAGTGCAAGCAAGCACAAGCACAGAAGAGTCAACCCACATTGGACCAGTGTACTATGAGCTTCATGCTCTCAATTTAGAAGGTAAACATAGTGGGGGGAAATTACCTTCCAAAAAGAGAGGTTGGGGCGAGCATGGTTCCTCGCTGGGAGTTCTTAACACACCCCTCGTAATCCCCCTCGTCCGCGCCATTGTACTGATACACACCCGCCTTGGTGTTCCATATAAAAACTGCAAGTTCAGAGACATACACGCAAGGCACATTGTTGACTTCAGCGAGAGCCTTCCACCTTTTCATGTTGCCCACGCGCGCTCCACGGGATGACTTACGAGTCGACTGGAAAATCCATTTTTGGTCACTCTAGGCGACCAAACTCACGTACCAAACTCGTCAGCAATCTTGACTTCAGAACGCGCCTTACATCTCTTCATATTGCCCATGCTCCACGTTTTCACTTTCAAGTCGACTCAAGAAACATTCTAGACCACTTTGCGTGTCGTAGCTGTCACGTACCAAACTCGTCTCCAACTTTAACTTCAGCGGGGGCCTTCCATTTCTTCATGTTGCGCACGCTCCATGGGTTCATTTGCTTCTTGTTCCACGTGGATTGCTTCGTAAGCTTCATCCCGCCCCCAACATAGTACCTCGTGGCCTGGATAAGTTAGCGGGATAGGGAACAAGCAACAGATTAGGGAAAAGCGAGGGGGAGAGAGGGAAGGAGTGGGTTGCTTTGTATGCTTTGTAAGCTTCATCCCGCCCCCCACATAGTACGTCGTGGACTGAACGGGTTCGCGCGATAGGGAGGGAGAGGGGGAGAGAGAGAGAGAGAGAGAGAGAGAGAGAGAGAGAGAGAGAGAGAGAGAGAGAGAGAGAGAGAGAGAGAGAGAGAGAGAGAGAGAGAGAGAGAGAGAGAGAGAGAGAATGAGTGGATTGCTTTGTTAGCTTCATCCCACCCCTCACATAGTACGTCGTGGCCTGAACGAGTTAAGGGATAGAGAGCAACCGAAAGATCCCGAGGAGCGGAAGATGGAAGGGGAGGATGCGGGAGGGGGGGGAGGGGACGGGGAGGGGGGGGGGGGGGGGGGGGGGGGGGAAATAGAGACGTCATTTGAGGCGTCTAAAAAGCTTCGCGTGCTAGGTTCTAACCTGATCGGGTTCAGGCGATAAGGACAGAAGGACTTTAGATCTAGAACTAAAATAGGCGGTTGGAGAACTACTCGCGAAAAGTAACAGGCGCAAGCATGAGCGAGTTCCGGTGATGGAAGCGAGGCGAACAGTTATTAAATGCCGAAGGAAGGGGGGAAGTTCGCGGCACGGACGCTAGGGAAGATGGTGGAGAGGGGTGCGTGAAAAAACGACGAGACTTAAGGGTTGAAGTAAGCGTTTGGAGAGGGAGGGGGAGGGCGAGGGGGAGGGGGAGTGGGGGGGGAGGGGGAGAGGTGGCGGGTGCGAACTGGATAAGGACGGAGAATCAAAAAGAGCGGGGAGGACGTGGAGAGAACGTGAACGAAAGCCGAACGGAAGAGGAGGGGGGCTATCCAGGAAGGCATGGGTACGGTTGAGTCTTAGAGACGTCTCAAAACTCAAACAGAAAGAGGAGACAGGCTAGCCAGGAAGGCATGGGTACGGTTGGGGTAGTCTGCTTGGTGTCGCTCGGCTTACCTGTGCTGTTAGGAGAGCTGAGGCGGCGCAAACGTCAGGCAGCACCGTGTCCACGTCAGGCAGCACCATGCACACGTCATTCAGAACCATGCACACGTCATTTAGAACCACGCACACGTCATTTAGAACCATGCACACGTCAGGCAGCACATGCGAAAAGCAAGCATAACGACGAAGAAGAGGAAAGTAAGTTTGACATCATCTTAACAAAGATCGCCACTCCGTTCGAGATAGCAACACGCTTGGGAGTCAATCCGCTTCTATGAGGAGCCGAGAACGAAGCGCGCGGGAAAGAAAGTAAGGGGAAATAATCGTCACGTACAAGCGAGGCCGAGGGCGGAGAGGCACAGGAAGAGCGTTAGACGATGCAGCGACATGGTGGCAGCGCCTTTCAAGGGTGAATTTTGAGTTGACTGCTTGGTACACCGCTTTTGCTAGCCTAATTCGAGCTGCTCTAGGACCACGCAGGAAAGTACAAGGATCGAAAAACTGGACGCAAAGAACTGAAGGACAACACAACGAAGGAAGTTCGAGCTGACAAAAACAAAAGTTGGAATGCTTGATTTGGTTTTGATGAGCAGGCAGGAGCAAGGCGCAGAACGATGAACGAGGGAGAAGGGGATCCAAAGTGGTGGGAAGTGCGAGCTCAGGGGTTCAAAAACATAGAGGCGTTATCTTGTCGCGGAGTGATGGGTTCGCTTTGCGCATGGGGACTCGAGGCGAGAGGGGGTGACGTGCAGTCATGCTTCTGTAGCCAGCGGGAAGGTGTGCCAGATCTGGAGAAACAGCTGAAGAAGCCTGCGCTTCCAAAACAGAGAGCCAATCAGTAACGAGTTCAACCTGACGCTCAAGATGTTATCAGTCCCAAAGTTTCTCTTGGGGCAGTCACTCAATTTGTCTGATTTCAGCTACTCCAGCAATCCACGGCGAAATTTCAACTGCGGGCATGGATCAAGTGGCACTTTTAGGTGGCCGAAGCCCTCTCGGTCAGGTGGTTCTGGTCAGGTGAAAACATCGACTTAAGCCAAACCAGCTGATGCGATGTTTACATGTTCGAAAGAAACGTATTCGCGGTAAAAGCAACCAGGATAGGAGTAAAATGTCCAGGCAGTGCATCTAGCTTGTCAGGATGCTCTCACGTTCAATCTCTCACAATAGTACTAATAAATAGTATTAATAGTAAGGGAATTAAGACATACAGGTAGTAATATTTCATAAACATAAATATTAATGGTATTATGCTACTTATGTGCTGCTGTCAGAATACATATCTGACCCATAGGTGTGAGCGTTGTCAGGCATATATGCTATAGTCAATGTAGGTTGTAGTGGGGCAGTTCATATGGGGTACAACACTTTAGGGTTTACTACTTGTACTCCTCATTCTGCTCAATGCATTCATTCCTCGTTTCTTATCATGGTATCGAGCAGGTTCCCTAGTGGGAACAATTCCTAGGGCCCACCACGATATTTTTTTTTCCTGCCCGGAGCGCGCTTCGCTCCTACCCGAGTCGCGCTCTGTGTGCCCTCCCTACCGTCACGCCCTCTCACGGCCCCTTCGCGTCGCCTTTAGCGGCCCCTCTCACGGCCCCTTACGCCGCCCTTACGGCCCCTCGCGCTGCCCTTTACGGCCCCTCGCGCCGCCCTCTACGGCCCCTCGCGCCGCCCTTACGGCCCCTTACAGCCCCTTGCGACGCCCGTGCCCCCCCCCCCCCCCCCCCCCCCCCCCCCTCGCGGCGCCCTTACGGCCCCTTACGCCCTCGTCGCCGCCCCGTCTAGACCCCTTACGGCCCCGTCGCCGCCCCGTCTAGGCCCCTTGCGGCCCCCTCTGCGGCCCCGTCTAGGCCCCGTGCGGCCCCTCTATGGCCCCGTCTAGGCCCCTCTACGGCCCCTCTGCGGCCCCGTCGACGCCACCCGCGGCCCCGTCGCCGTCACCTGCGGCCCCATCGCCGTCACCTGCGGCCACCCCGCCGCCACCTACGGCCCCGTCGCCACCACCTGCGGCCCCGTCGCCGCCAACTGCGGCCACGCAGCCGCCGCCTGCGGCCTCGCCGCCACCTGCGGCCCCGTCGCCGTCACCTGCGGCCCCGTCACCCTCCCCTACCGGCCACGTCGCCGCCTCTACCGGCCCTGTCACCGCTCAGCCGCCCAGCGACCGAGCCGCCGAGCAGCCCAGCAGCCGAGCCGCCCACCTGCCGTGCAGCCGAGCCGCCCACCTGCCGAGCAACTGAGCCGCCCAGCAGCCGAGCCGCCCAGCAGCTGAGCCGCCGAGCAGCCGAGCAGCCCACCAGCCGAGCCGCCAAGCGAGCCGAGCCGCCCAGCAGCCGAGCCGCCCACCCGCCGAGCCGCCGAGCCGCCCTACTGTCGATCCGCTGTTGTTCCTCCTGGTGAGCTCACTCCCTACTAGGCCACTACACTCATGGCTACCCCCAGTGTCCTTACTTTTGATGCTGAGGGCCGTGCTGTTGACTTTGAGGTCTGGGTCGATGACCTCCAGCTGTTCCTCCAGTGCGATAGGGCACACGGCCTCTCTCTGTTCGACCTCGCCTCTGGTGCCTCCCCTGCCCCGCCTGCTACTGCTGACAGCACTGTTCGCTCACAGTGGGCGACACGCGATGCTGCTGCCCGTCTTGTTGTGCGTCGCCACTTACCGACCACTGAGCGTGCACACTTAAGCCAGTACAAGAGTGCTCAGACCTTGTACGACGCTGTAGTTGTACGCTACTCTTCCCCTGCCACTGCTGCACTGAGCCGCCTCATGCTACCGTACCTCTTCTCTGACCTTGCTGCCTTTCCCACAGTCGCTGACCTCATTACGCACCTCCGCACTAGTGACACTCGCTACCGCGCTGCGCTTCCTGCTGAGTTCTGCGCCAAGAACCCCCCCCCCCATATACATCACCCTCTACTACATAGTCACCCGGCTCCCTGACTCTCTCCGCGTAGTCAGGGACCACTTCCTCTCAGTTTGCCCCACCACTCTCACTGTTGACCTCCTCGAGAAGGGCCTCCTAGCAGCAAAGAACAGCATAGTCGCTGTAGGAGCCTCTCGTGGTGACCCTCGCACCCCCGTCTTTGACGGGTGTTCCCCCTCCCCCCTCTTGCCCTCTGTTGCTTCTGCTGCTGCGGCCGACCTCGTTGGTTTCGAGTCGGTCGGCGCTGCGTCTGCCCCTAGCGGGAGATGCCGCACCGGCAAGGGCAAGGGGGGCAAGGGCGCTGGAGGGGCTGGCGGGGGCGATGGAGGTGGTGGTGGAGGCAGTGGAGGGGGAAGGGTGGTGGTGGGAGTGGTGGCGGGGGTGGCGGCGGCGGCGGCAGCAGTGGAGGTGGAGGAGGCGGCGGTGTTGGCGGAGGGAGCGGAGGCGGCGGAGGTGGCGGAGGAGGCGGAGGTGGAGGAGGCGGAGGTGGAGGAGGCGGCGGAGGCGGCGGCGGCGGCGGTGGTGGAGCGGGTCGCGACTTTGCGCAGAGGAGTGGGTCAGGTGGTGGTCCGCGCCAGCAGCAGCGGAGTGGTGTGACTCTGTCCCCTCAGCAGCTTCGTGAGTGGTACGCTGCGCGTCAGCGCGGTGGGGGTACTGGTCCCTGCACTTACGTCCTCCGTACCGGCGACCGAGCTGGTGAGCAGTGCGGGGGCCCGCACTCCACCTAGCGCTGCTTCGGTCGCCTGACGGACGCGTGGCGTCGCCAGTTCCCTGAGGCGTCAGAGATCCCTCGCTGGGGAGATCTGGCTAGGGCGGGGGTTGCCATCTTTGATCTTGACTATGATGATTTCCTTGCTGCCATGTATTCTGTGACTACTAGTGTTGAGGGTGACTGTTACCTGTGTGTACCGCCTGACCCGGGCATTGAGGCCACTGCTCTAGGTGCTGGTGAAGCTGCTGCTCTAGGTGCTAGTGCGTCTGCTACCCTAGGTGCTGGTGAGTCTGCTCTCTCAGGTACTACGTCGGCTCAGGCCTTACACACCTTCACCCTTGACTCGGTGCGTCCCGCTCCTTCTTTCGAGACCGCACCACTCTTACGCCGCTCAGTCGGCCGGTTGCAGTCTCCCTGGCGGACCCCTCTGGGGGTCCTGTCCTTGCTAGCTTCTCCACTGTCTTACCGTGCCCGCCAGCCCCCTCTGGCACCCTGTCAGGGCTCTACCTCCCCTTGTTCTCTACGAACTTAGTGAGTGTAGCGGACCTGCAGGATATGGGGGTTGACCAGTTCACTCCTACGAGTCAACGGGTGACCCACTGCACGTGTGCTCGGACAGGCCGACACTTGGCCACGTTCACGCGTCGGCCGGGGTCGAGCCTGTACACCCTTACTATTGAGTCTCCTCCGGTTGCTGAGTCTGGCCAGGTAGCTGCGTCGAGTCAGGTGTTTGCTGCAGCGTCCAGGTCTGGTCCTGAGTCTGCTCCCTGCTCGTGTCGTCTACTGTCCCACCAGACTCTCCTCTGGCACCACCGCCTTGGTCACCCCTCCCTGCCTCGTCTCCGAGGCATGGCCTCCCGTGTCCTTGTCTCTGGTCTCCCTCGGTCTCTCCCTCCCCTACCTCCGGGGCCTGGCCCTACCTGCGTCCCCTGCGTCGAGGGGCGACAGCGCGCCGCCCCTCACTCCTCCGAGTTTCCTCCGACAGAGGCTCCGCTACAGACCCTCCACATGGACGTGTGGGGCCCCGCCCGCGTCCGTGGCCAGGGGCACGAGCGTTACTTCCTGTTGGTTGTTGACGACTACTCGCGTTACACCACAGTCTTCCCCTTGCGCAGCAAGGGTGACGTCACTGAGGTGTTGATCGACTGGATCCGCGCAGCTCGTCTCCAGCTCAGAGAGATTTTCGGCTCCGACTTTCCTGTTCTGCGTCTGCACTCTTACAGAGGCGGGGAGTTTTCCTCTGCCCGTCTGGGAGCCTTCTGTCGGGCACAGAGCATCCGCCAGACCTTCATGCTTTCGGCCTCTCCACAGCAAAATGGGATTGCTGAGCGCCGCATTGGCATGGTCGTGGACGTCGCTCGTACGTCCATGATCCATGCGGCTGCCCCCC